GATTTAGTGGGTTACTAGAAGTTTATTGAACAGGAAAGGGTCTTCAAATTTTTGGAAGGTCTTAACTTAGAGTTTGATCCTGTTCGGAGTTGTGTCCTTAGTATGGATGTTCTTCCCTCTCTTCAAGAGGCCTTTGCTTATGTACAGAATGAGGAGAGTCGTTGTTCTGCTATGCTACCACCTAATTCTACAGAGCGTTCAACCTTACTTTCTGCTCCTCCTATGGATGGTACTGGCCTATCTCATATTGCACCGAGTCCTTCAAAGAAGGATACACTGTTCTGTGATTATTGCCATTGACCGAGACATAACCATGAGACTTGTTGAAAGCTTCATGGGGTTCCTTCTAGTGGTCGTGGTGACCGATCTGGTAGTCGTGGGGGTTGCTCCGGACAATCTTGAGGATGCGGGTTTAACCAACGTGCACATCATACTAGTGCAATGGATACTCCTGAAGTCCCTTCAGTTGTTCCTCCTAGTGATGCATCTAGTATGTCTTCTTCTTAGAAGATGTTTTGCGCCACCTACTAGACCGCCACTCTTCTATTACTACATCTGGTACATCCTCCTCGTCTTTTACCCACTCACGTAACTTAGCCGCTTTTACAAGTGCTTTTCTATGTCATAAGCCTTTACCTTGGATTATTGATTCTGGTACCTTAGATCATATGTTTGGGCCTTTTGATCTATTCTCGGAATATAAGCCTTCTTCAGGTCAGGACAAAGTTAGAATTGCTGATGGTACTGTTTTTTCTGTTTCTGGGAAAGGTTTAATCCATGCCACTCTTTTTCTACCATTATCTTCTGTTTTACATGTTCCTGATTTCTCTATTAATCTCGTATCATTGAGTCGTCTTACTCATAACCTGAAATGTAGTGACTTTCTTTCCTGATCATTGTCTGTTTTAGGACCTTATAACGAAAAAAACGATTGGCAATGGTAAAGCAGAACATGGTCTCAATATCCTGAATCAAATGGACCAATTAGCATGTCACTCCATCAAGTTTCCAACCACCAAGGTAGACTTGTGGCTGTGGCATCAGAGTCATGGGCACCCATCGTTTCTTTTACTTAAACATTTATTTCCTTTTGTTTTTACAAACAATAATATCTCTGAATTTCATTGTGAGTCTTGTCAACTTGGAAAACAACATAGATCTTCTTTTGCTCCAAGCTTTAATAAAAGTTTAGTACTTTTTTCCTTAATTCACTTTGATATTTGGGATCCATCTCGTATTGTATCTTTAAAAGGTTATAGATGGTATGTTACTATTATCGATGATTTTTCTCGCACTATTTAGGTGTATCTTATGAAAGACAAAAGTGAAGTTTTTTTTGTGTTTCGTAATTTTCACAAAATGATATGTACTCAATTTGGGGTCGTTGTAAAATATTGTATTCTAATAATTGGGTGAGTATATTGATTCTGCTCTAGCAATTTATTTTTCCATGGCATTATTCATCAGACTTCTTGCACCAACACATCCCTCAACAAAATAGAGTTACGGAACACAAGAATCGTAATCTTCTTGATATAGCTTGATGCATGTCTTTTTCTATGCCTAGGTCTTACTAGGGAGATGTAGTTCTCACTGCTGCCTACCTCATCAACCGTCTCCCAACCCAAGTATTGCACAAAAAATCTCCTCTCCAGGTTTTCTTAGGTTCTAAGTCTGTTTTCTCTATTCCTCCTAAAGTCTTTGGCTATGTCTGTTTTGTCTACAAACATGCTTCTTCTCGCTGTAAATTTGATCCCCGCTCTCTGAAGTGTCTTTCTGGGTTACTCTCCTACTCAAAAGGATTATAAATGTTACCATCCTCCATCTCGTAAGTGGTTTGTATCTATGGATATCATATTCTTTGAGTCACAATTCTATTTCTTGTCACAGTCCTCCTCGAGGTCCTAACCCTCCCTTCAGGGAAACCTTGGTGTGCAAGGATTCCTAGGTCTATATCAGTTCCTAGCTTATCCCCAGTGGTTGAGAACACAGAAGATGACCTTGCTACTAGTGGTGGAAATACGAAATCTAATGAATTAAAGGAAGGAAAAGTTTATGTCAGGGACAAAAACTGACAGAAAGTTACTTGCATACAAGAGACCACTTTTGATCATCCACTGCCATCTTCTTCTGATGAGAGTCAACTCTGAAACACTTATTCCTCCTGAGTATACTGAGTTTGATATTCCTATTGCCCAACGAAAGGGTGTGAGGTCTTGTACTAAACATCCGATTTCTAACTTTGTGTCATATTCTAACTTATCTCCTTCTTATAGAGCCTGTGTCCAAAGTTTTTTCTATTAGTATACCTAATCATTTTTAAAATGCTCTTGCTACCCCTGAATGGAAACATGCCATGATAGAAGAAATGAAAACACTTCGTAAGAATAACACTTGGGAATTAATTGAGTTACCTAAGGACAAAAGACCCATGGGATGCAAATGGGTGTATACTGTGAAGCATAAAGTGGATGGTTTAATTGAGCGTTACAAAGCTCAACTAGTGACAAAGGACTTTACTCAGACTTATGGAGTAGACTATCAAGAGACCTTTGCACCAGTGGCTAAAATAAATTCAGTCAAAATTCTTCTCTCTCTTATAGCTAATCTAGATTGGCCACTTCATCAATTTGATGTAAAAAATACTTTCTTACATGGTAATCTAGAAGAAGAGGTGTATATGGACATCCTTCCAGGCTTTGAGGACCATCAGACAAAGGGTCAAATATGCTAACTTTGGAAGTCATTATATGGTATCAAACAGTCTCCAAGGGCTTAGTTTGAGAAATTCACTCAGGCTATGCTCCGATATGGATTCAAACAGAGCCAGGCTGATCACACTTTGTTTGTGAAGCATTCTTCACATGGTAAGACTACAGCTCTCATTCTTATGTGGATGACATAGTACTTACAGGAGATGATACTGAGGAAACACCCCGGTTGAAGAAATATCTGGCAAGCGAGTATGAAATAGAAGACTTGGGAAATCTGAAGCATTTCCTAGGTATTGAGGTTGCCCGATCCAAGGATCGAATTTTCATTTGTCAGAAGAAATATGTTCTTGACTTGTTAAAAGAAACTAGGATGCTTGGGAGTAAGGCTTGTGATACACCATTGGAGCCAAACCAGAAACTTAGTGATAATAGTGGAGGAGCTATTGTTGATAGGGAGAGTTATCAAAGACTAGTAGGCAAACTCATTTACTTATCTCATTCTTGTCCTGACATTTTTGTAGCAGTAAATGTGGTTAACCAGTTCATGCATACTCCTCATGAGTCACACTTAGTTGTAGTAATGCGCATCCTTAGATACCTAAAATCTTCTCTAGGAAAGGGTCTCTATTTTTTCAAACATGATCATCTTCGAGTGGAAGCTTATACAGATGCTGATTGGACAGGATCAATAACTGATAGAAGGTCCACATCTGGTTATTGTACCTTTGTTGGAGGTAATTTAGTTACTTCGAGGAGTAAGAAACATGCGACTGTACTGTGACAATAAGGTTGCTATTAACATAGCTCACAATCCGATCCAGTTCAGCATGACCAAACGAAATATGTGGAGATTGATCGCCACTTCATTAAGGAGAAACTCACCAGTGGCACACTATATGCACTCCTTTTGTGAAGTCATGTGAACAACTAGCAGACATTCTCACCAAGGGAATTGAAAGCAAACCATTCCATGATGTGCTTGGCAAGCTAGGCATGAAAGATATTTTCGCACCAGTTTGAGGGGGAGTATTAGAATAATATCTTGGGTGATTGTGTATTGCTAGAATATTATTTTGAGTGATTGGATATTGATTGGTTTATTAGCCGTTATTTCCTTATTATTATTTCCATATTTGTGCCTTCAAGGCTTCCATAGCTGTTATTTCCATATTTGTGCCTCCAAGGCTTCCATTGTAAGCTACCTATTATCTATATAAAAGGGGATATTGTCTACTCACTCCTAAGTTTTGTTCTCTCTTAGTAGTAATTTGGTTTGGTTTAGTGTGTGACAGTATAGACATCAATGTTCAAAATTCAGTAAGTGATTACTGATGTATCGAATAGTATGGAAACTCTAAGAAGAAAAAAAAAATTATGTACAATACGAAAAGTTTTTCTCCAAAAACATAGAAAGGGGAACCTATGGTGGTCAAGGGAGAAGTGGGAGGTGTTGGTGTTGTTGGTGGAGACGATGGTTGATTTCCTGTTAACCATGGCAGAAATTATGCATCACCATTGATTCAATCTTCTATCTTTTTAATTTTTGTCTCAACATAAGCACAAAGCCACTCGTTTAAAAAACAAAGCCCCTACATGCTAAATTAATCTCACAAACCATATCAATGTTGAGCCTAAGATAGGTCTAGATTGTTAATCGCTTGGAAAGAGAGTGGGAGCAGAAGGTTCAGACTTGAAGTCAAGAAATTGGAGCTTAGTGGTCCAAACTAAAGCTCATTGATTTAATTATATCTAGCCATTGCAGCTTCAAATACAGAGTTGATGTGTTTTGATGAAATTGAGGTCAAGGTGGTGGTGTTGCCATGGTGGTTCACATGGTTGTGTGATAAATTTAATTGGGTTGATAGGAAAGAGATAGACACAATAGTTGAAAATGGAGTCATTTGCTTTCGGTTGCCATCAACCAATAATCTCTAATCATGGTGAGGCAATTAAGTGACACAGAAAGAGAGTTCAGAGGTAGAGAGGGAAAGCAACAGTCTTTGTGATGGCTGGTATGACAGTATTTTGGTTATTTTACAGTGTCATTGAATATTATAAATGCTTTTAATATTACTCCACATGAGGGGAAATAGACAATTTAAAGCGTCAACTTGGTGAACTTGAGTCAGATACTAAAATCCAAGCTAAATAACCACTACCATTCCACCAAAAGGATGCAGAAAGTATTTCAAATACCAATTTTGTAATGAAGACAAAACTCATCCCAAAATTAAAATATCTCATAGTTTCATTGCAAATTAGAAATCATGATGTAAAATCACATACTGGTTTGGGACCAACGGAGTTGAGTTTAGTTTTGGCTCCACCAGTTGTCCAATAGCAAAGATTCCACCTCCATTAGTACCATCCAAGCAATGTGCAAACATTTTTTTAACCTTTCCAACCGATGCAAGCTGTGATATCATGGAAGAATTTGCTTGTCCAAAACCAAGGATGCCATCAAGTGCTTGAGAAGATGAACCCAGCTGACCGGATTGTTTAGCTCCACACCTGTCTTAGATCAGAAATATTTATATAAGGAATAAAAGAAACATTGTACATAAACTGTGCTAAATAATTATCAAGTTTACAACACTAATCAGACCTAAGCAAGGCACACATATTTGAAACTTGAAAGAACATGTCAAAGGTAATATAGATTTCACTAATAAATCTAACTTGTTAATGACCATTTCATCTAAAAGCTTAAGTTGTTACAAAGGTTTAACTTAACTATCAAGATCATCGACGCTGCCTCAAGTGTGGGCACTCTATATGAATGAGCCAAACATGTGCAGGGATTAAATTTATTTGGGTAGAATAAACAAAGGAACTTCTATAACATCAAAAGAACATATGACACAGTTGAAAAGCCCAACCCACACTTCTCCTTAAAACCCAGGTATTAAGGAGAGGGAAACTAAAACCTTATAACTAGCACAGATGGAGCAACACCAAGCGATGTGGGACACATTCCAACACCTTATTATTATTATGTATCTCAGTTACAATGACTCATCAATGAAAACACAAATCACAAATTATATAAACTCTCTAAGTGTAAAAAAGACACCCCAAAACCAAGGGAATAAACCCACAAGTAGGTGGGGAGAGTCGAACTCTTGACCTCCTAATTAAGTGCAACAGCTCTGAACAATGGGCTAACATTGTTGGTTTACATATGCAGTTCTTGTATTCAAGGGGTTGAGTTTTGGAGAATGTATTATACAGTTCATGAGATTTTGCTTAACCCTTGCGAGGACAAGCCTTTTTCTCATTCATCGACTTCTTCTCTACACTAGAAAAAAGTTTACTATTCTTGGGTTACTATTCACAGTCCAAGAACAATCCCCTTTTCGCTGATTAAAAAGAAAAATCCCCTTTCAGCATCTAACACTAACACTTAGACCCAAACAAACCTGAAATAATACACTTTTCATCCTCAAACCAGCACAAAATCAATTCCTAAACTAACTTAAACACTTTGTCTTACCTTTAGGCCTTTTTATCCGCACTCGAAAAACTTGATTTCATTATCCAGCCTAAATTCTCTACAAGGCCTGCAACTTTGACATTTTAGAAACCAACCCAAGCTCAAAATCTTTCTTCTACCTCGTCAAACCAAACCCTATTAGCTCTTTGCTACCTTAACCCACCAAAAAAACACAATTGTAGGTAGCTTAATTCTAAGTTTCCATAAACCATCAAACATTAATATATATTAGTGGAAAACCCTGCTCTCCACCTAATCAGGTTGATTGCAATAGGCCCTAGATGCAAAACAAAGTAACCTACAGCATTATGACATCACCTTACAAGGTTCTGATGAAGATGTAAATCTTCTTCGCCTACTAAAACCTCTAAACCCCAATATGGTCAGATCTTGTCAAATTAATGATTAGTTGTAGCAAACCCATACACGAGTTAGATGATATATTGACATGTCACATTTCAAGCCATTTGAGAAAATGAATTGAGAGAAGTACATATGATTAGATGCAAATAGACCAGGAATGAAAATAAGGCATCTCCAATGTAAAACTAAGGCTTGTTTGAGTTGCTAGTTAGCCAGAAGAACATTCGTATAGATCACCAGCCTGATCATCATGCCATTTCATCAAGAGGTGTTCTGTGGCTATTTGATGCATATTGCGATCATGAGAAATTGAGGCCAAGCACAGAAATCTGTATGTGTGCATGTATATGTTGAACTACACTTCAAACGTAGAAACGTGAACTCACCCAAACGCTACACTACCATTCATGGGTGTGGTTTGAAGGTTTCCAGAAGCTCGATCCAATTGTATATTATCTTTAACAAAGTATCCCATGCTTGAGCTCCCATCTCCGTAAGTAACACCATATGAACAAGCTGACCCAACCGTGCAACCAGTAGGGTTGACTGTCTCAATGCAAAAATCTTGGTCACAAGTAAGCGATGTTCCAGTTGTGGAGCCATTCGGATCATAGAGTCTCAGTTCTACCTGTTAATATAGTAACCACAACAAAATATTTTTAAAACATCATAATATTTGGAAACCTAAAGTTTCTGATCCTACAATAAAAAGATTCACATCCAAGTAAAAGAAGAGGCATACGCCGAGGTCACTTTTAGTAGGACATTTGTCACAGCCAGCACAATTCACCCACATAATGTCACTTCCTGTATCTACCTGCACATAATAGTCCTTCGGAGGAGTTCCAATTCCAATCTTAGTGTAGTAGAGCCTAAATCAATCAGCCAAATCATCCAAATAAAACCTACACTTCAATAAATACATATACACTACAAATATACATGCATGTATAAGTAAATGCGTATTTAAATATCACTGAAAGAAGCAGCAAATTAAAATAAAACACAAACAAAAACAATAAAAAATGCTAAGGGAAGCCAAATTCTCTGCTTTTAATTGAGAAACCTCTCATTTTTCAGACAACATCAGGAAAAATAAAATAAAATAAATATTCCACTCAATTGAGCTGATTGCAATTATTCAGCTTACATAAATTGAATTTTCATTTTGTTTACTTTACTCTTACATTGGAATTTTGAAAACAAGAAGTAGACGAACATTAATTACATAGCTCTAAAGAAAAACAAGGCAATTAAATGTAGACCTCAAAGTCTACAAATATATAAATAGCATCAAGAATAAATATTAGATGCCATTACATGTATTTATATATAATAATAACTAGGAAAACCTGCACTACGCATTGGGGGATTTGTGTAGTATAGATTACAGAATGAGTGCTGAAATTTTTAATTCTAGTTTTCAACAATAGGGTGAAGATTTTACCATCTCCATATTACTATATGGTTACAATACACATAGCCAACCCATAGCACGAAGTACAAAACAAACAATTCAAAAATCTAATAAAACTATGAATCTTGTAAAAAAAAAATTGTTCATCAATAAAGAAATTGTATTAGAGAATGTGCCATATACAGTTGTAAGTAGAATGGACCAGGGGTTAGGGGTTCACTGGAGAGTGAAATAAAGCGCTAAAATTTTTCTTCATATCTAAAATCTCTCCTCCAACATGGGAATGCTCAACCTTATTCTCCACACCACACTACCCCACCAAACCTCACTCCCTTTCTTCCCTTCCCTTCATAATTAACCCTACATTGAAGCCTTTTTAGTTCCTTTTCCTTGCTAGAAGATAGGTTTTCTCCTTTTTTTTTTTTTTTTTCCCCTTAATAGCTTCATGAATCTCCTCCCTCCCCAAATTAGTCGATTTCTTCAATTCAATTTTCTAAAGACTAGTGCAGTTATTGATCTTCTCATCCACCTTTTTATCATTATTATCAGACAACTTTCTCACCTTCTTAACTACTTCACCAAACTATTCATAGCTCAAGCGACCACCAATAACTACAACCCATGTTTTTGTCTACCTTCTGGAGAATAAAAAGGCCTCTATCATCAATTTCAAATGACACCTCAGAACCTAGAAGCTTGATCCTACCCTATTTCCGGCTCCATTTCAAACCCCAGACTCCACTCCACCCCCTGCAAAATGGGGAGTTCAGATGAAAAACCCACCACCCCGTTCTACCTCTACTTCCCCCTTCCAAAATCATGAGACTACTTAAATCATTTTATAATAACTTTGTCATATATATATATAACAAAAATAAATCTAACCACCATAATATCAACTATAATAACGCAACTTAAAGCTTTAATGAAATTGACAATAAACCCATATCATAATTTAAATAAATGTAAAATCTAACCTAAACAAAATAAAAATTAGACACCCAAAAACAATCACACAATTTAAAGCTAATAAAATTCGCAATAAACCCACATGATGATTTGACACGTATATGTATATGTATATATATAGTGAGAGAGAGAGAGAGAGAGAGAGAGAGAGAGAGAGAGAGAGAACTAACGCGGTATCAGTAGGGCTTCCATTGCCACCCAAAGGGAGATCCACAGCGGCTAGCCTTCTTCCATGGCGGCGATCGTCATGAGCCTTCAACGAAGGCAATGTCCTCTCACGCGCCGCCGCAAATTTGCTCTGCACCTTAAACACAACATTCGCCGACACCAAATTTGGAAGCAAAATAAACAACGAACCCAGCACCACCAAGCACCCTCTTCTGAGATCCATCATTGGAGTATAGTATCCCACATATACAACTATAAATACACATACAAATCTGAATCTGAATCTGAATCTGAATCTGAATCAAAAATTGATTTGGGTTTTTGTTATTTTTTTCAATTTATATATGGGTTCGGAAAAGAATGGGTTAGCGGAAGAGGCGGAGATTGAAGGAAGAAATCGCGTCCGCCTCGGTTGGGTCGGTGAGAGAGAGAAAGAAGACGAAAGCCGAATGGGAACAAATTGGAAGATGAAAACAAAGACGAATATATATATATATTGACAAGGGCTCTTTGTGCGTTGTCAACGATAAACCGCAGAGGGTTGTTTGGTATATTACTACTACTTTGCCTGCCTATATTTCTGGTGACCACCATCTCTCTGTACTTTTCTTTTCTTACCCCCATTTCTCTCACAACTTTTTGCCACGTCCCTTTGAATCTAATGTCAACCTCACAAATTTTTTATTTTTTATAATCTTTTTTATATTTTTAATGAATATTTTTAAAATTTTAATTTGCTTTAAATGGATTGAATAAAATAAAAATATAAAATGAGAAAAATACAATTTTAATGTTTTCAAACAAAAGAAAATAAATGTACCACATTTTTTTTTTATAAAACATATTATTTATTTTAAATCTTGAACACAAAATTTATAAATTAATTGAATATTTCAGAAATTAATATATAAAATAATCAAATTAGTAAAAAAATTGTATGTAATTAAAATAAAGGTTGGTGTCATATGATTAATCATGTTAGTGTCAAAAAGAAATTGTGTATGGACAAATGTAGCATAATTTCACATGTATATATATATATATAGATGGATTTTGTCGGTTTGTACATCCATGGTTGAACCTTTTGACAAGCCAATTTAATATTTGAATTGCCACAATGTTTGTCAAGGGCTGACCTTTTTCAAAATATTTACACATCTCAAAACAAATTTTCATCAATTTAAATACAACCTAAGTAGCATTTATAAAATTCTTAAAACTATTTTTTTTCTAACAATGTTAAAGAAATTGTATTCTCGACAACAAAAACAAATATAAGAGAGAGTCATTTCAAAATTAATTTAATTATTTGAGATTAATTAATTTTGGCCATATAGGAGGGAGGATCAAGTCCATGTCATGTTGGCTTTTAATACCATTCCATGCATCGCGTGTTTGTTTGACTATTCTCTTCTCTCTGGATATATTTTTTCTAGTATCTCAAATATTTTATCAAATGTTTCACCAAATGTCTCACATGAGTGTAAAACTCACATGATGTGAATCCCACTCTTGTAAGACATTTGATAAAACATTTAGAATCCCTAACATTTCCATTTGGTTTTGATTTACATCGATTGTGGCCTATTTTGCGAAGTAAGCTAAAAATTAGTTTTTAAATTTTTTTTTTACTTTTCTTTAAAATATATTAAAAAAATAGAAAAATAATTTGACCTAAAAAAACCAAAAAACTAAAAAGTTAACTTTTAATCCAATTGTCAAAATATACTATTGTAGAAATACATCTGCACATCATGAAAGGAATTGATAATTGCATGCCCTTTTTGTATATTTGAGACCATCTGAATTGCCAAGAAAAACCAGTAAATCCAACTCAATTTCTCACGTGTATGTTTGTGCGTGTGTTCTGAAGCTTGATTGACCTCATACATTGTAATATATACAAACAACCCTGCTATGTACGGACAAATAACAAAAAATGATAAATAACGTTGAACATACTAAAAATTAACAATTAAATACTATGATATTTATTTAGATGGGTATTGAAATAATATATTTAGTGATCTTACTATATTTAATTAAATAAATTTTAGAAGAAAAAAAAGTTGAACTGAAAATTAAGAGTAAGAGTGGATTCTGTAAATAAACAAATTTGAAGATAAACTATATATATATATATATAAGAAAATTAGACAAATCCTAGAAAAATGAGGTAGAGAGAAATTCAGTAATTGAAAAAAAAAAAAACAAAGTTGAAATTTAAAATTAAAAAATAAGATAAGACAAACTTGAAAAGAAAAATAAAATGTAATATAACTCTAATAACAGAAGAAATGGAGAGGGTAATAATTAAAAAATTAAATAAGAGTGAAATGCCACTTATAATTTTTTAAAATTTGTAAAAAAAAAACTAAAATAAAATCAAGGTAGTATGTTAAAAATCAGATAAGATTTAAGTGCCACTTATAATTTTTTAAAATTTAAATTTTGTGTAGTTAAAAAATAAGCAATTATGTTATCTTATTATACAAATTTTAACTCTATTTTGTGTCTACTACCTATAATTTAATCAAATTTTGTCTTCTAAAGCTACTTAATTGAAATAAGAAAGAATAAAAAATTATAAGAATATAGAAAGTGAAAATCAGATAAAAATAGAATAAACTTAATTAAAAATCAAAAGGAAGAATCGATCCTGTAAATATAAGATAAAGATTAAAAAAAAAAAATCAAATGCAAATTTGAAGATAAATTATACGAATATAGAAAGAGAAACTTAGATAAATAGCAAAAGTAAAAGAGAGTAAAAAACACAATATGAGATTTACAACATGTGCTTCTTTTCACATAAGATGCTAAAAATCTTGCATAATTGGTTAAATCACCCGTTTAATTTCTTTAGAACGTTATTTTTGTTCTCCAATCTTTTTGCCTAATTTCATATTGTCATAGAAGTTAGGTTTTGAGATTTATAAATTTATTTATTTATTTATTTCAAATATCCTTGGGTAAGACATAAATTGATGAAGAAATTTGAATTATAGTCAAACTCATCTTTTATTTTTAAATATTTTGAAAATCTTTTTTCTTTAAATATTTTGAAAATCTTTTATATCCATGCCATAAATAATTAAAAAGTGAAATAAAAAATATAAAAAAAGATAAGAAAAAATAGGAAAATAGAATTAGAGAAGAATGGATGTGCCATGTAGGAAAGAGGTTCATGAGATGTTAGGATTGAGAGTTTTGAATTTTTTAAGAGAACACTACATTTGCTTATATATATAGTATAGATAGATTGTTGTGGGCCTGACCTACCTAGCTTAGACCAATGGACTTAGCCCACAGACCCAGCTTGGCCTGTTCTTGACAAGTCGACCCATGGGGTCACTGACTGTGAAGTCGAACAAGTCAATTGACGCTGCCCACCAGCTCAGCAATCTGGCTGACCACCAGGTCAGGCGTTGGTCACTCAACCATCTAGCCCCATGTCGGTTTGATGATGACTCTTGTGACAAAAACATGGAGAGACCTATCGTCCCCCCAACCTACAAACCACCTGTAAGACATGTCTGGTAACCTTTGTTGCACAAGCATGCAATTCAACATGGCTGGCCCCCATTGAATATGACTTACCAAAATTATTCCTCCAATCGAGAGAGAGAGAGAGAGAGAAAAGAATGTGTTACATATAAGTTGGCCACATGCAAAACGTAACTTTAATTTAAACCTAATCTCTTCTATCTTCTCCTTTTGTCTAAACACCCTTGCGAACTTGGTGCATCAGACTTCTTTTGTAAGAGCCTGTGAGAGAGGAGGTACAGTCCACAATCAACCCAGTCCAACCCATAGACCTTTGATAATACTCTGATATCATCACACTACATGCATATCTTTTTTATGGCTTTCTCTCGACCTTTATTATTGTTTGATTTACTGTTTATCAAATCTTAATTCCTTCTATTATGAGAGAGAAGGGGAGAGATTTGATTTACTGTTTTTCAAATTTTGATTCCTTTTTTTATTTTATTTTTAATTTTTTATGAGAGAAGGGAAGAGATTTATGGTAGAAGTGAAATAGTTGGTGCTCGCTGTAAAAATAAAAAATAAAAAATCAAGAGAAGAACTAGAACCCTAGCCTCAGTGAAATACATATTACACGTCTAAAAGTCAGAAAAACCAAAATTAGCAAGGCCAGCCTGGCCGGTATGCATCAGCAGCCAAGTACCGAGTCACATATCATCACCATAATCTCATCAAACAAGGGACAAAACTTTCTCTATCCTATACATACAGTCAAATGCAAGCAAGGCATCTTAAATTATATTGTCTACACGCAAAAAACGATGGAGCAAAGTGTCAGAACTAACTTACTGGTCCCTTCCAACACTGAGAATCCACTGAGCAAGATGAGTTAAATATGGCTCGGCTTGAGAACTGCTGCTCAAAATTGGCCTGAGACTCTCAAGCTCAGAATTAAATTCCCTCTCAAATTTCCTGCAGATTATTCACAGCATATTAATGAGAGAGAGAGAGAGAAAGAGAGAGAGAGAGAGAGAGAGAGACAACTTTGAAGAGAAATTGGAGATCAAGCTAGGAATTGCTAGAAGAATTAAAGGGAATTGGTGAAATTGAGCTAGAAACTACTAGAATTCAAGAAATTGGGAACTCTAGGTAAGAATCATACTCTTAACCCTTATATTCGAGAGAGAGAGAGAGAAAGAGAGAGAGAGAGAGAGAGTTGCACTAGTGATTTATCCTTACAGAACAGAATCAGTGACCGCTGCATTTTCAGTGGCTAACTTCAGTGCCTGAGATGATGATGGCTTTCTTATTTTCATTTGCTTGAATTTTTCAGAGGATGTAGTATCAAGCTTGGGAATGTCAATGGAAGATGAAATCAACCACTGAGTTGCTGCTGCATACTGAAGGCAGATAGATTTCAGCCTCTCCACTTTCTGCACATAGAAAACTTGGGATATAAACCGAAGCACCAAATAAATGAAGGAAAAATGGATAGAAATTCTGAGCCATGCCAACTCAATTAGTAACTTTCTAGCTCAATAACAACAGAAAAATCAACTAGAAAAATTTAAAGACAGAAACTAAAGTGAGAGTTGAACCCTAAAGTAAACAATTCGTAGAGCAGGAACAAGAGCAATATAAAACAATTTAGACTTGATACTAAAATCAAATTTCAACAATTAACTAAGCAATTAAACTTGCATATGATACTTTTGCATATAAACTTTTAAATGTTAGGAAAAAGAACAAGAGCAATATAAACAAGTTTAGACTTAATATTGAAATGAAATTTTTATAAAACCTACAGAGAAAAAAATAAAATAGAAGAAGAAGAAGAGCAAACTGACTAAGGCTCTTAAACTAATATCTAATTCCTAAAGAAGGATTTCTCACCATTCTTTGAGTATCCCTTTTTTTAAGATCTTGTCATATCATGGTATTTGTATCGTATCCATATCCGTATCCATGCTTCATAGGTCTACATGTATTACTGAAACTAGCAATCTTACATTACTTGCACACATAAAACTGGTTCTGAGGCACCCTCTCAGTTGTACATTCTCGGAGTAAGGTTTCAAATTCTATATATAGCTTCAACTTCAATTTAGGAAGGTTGAATTCTCAAAACTTCATCCAAGCATTGAAACTTTGGGACAAAGACATGTTTTGATAATCTAGTTCAAAAGTTCAAAATATAAAATTTTCAAATGGCATATATCAAACAGAAAGCTTAATAAAATATGATCTTAAGCAAAGAAACTTTATCCTTTACACTGATGATAAAAATCAAAACTAACCTTAAGAACTTCGGGCAAAAGAAGCAAGCATTCCCTTAGACACTTCTCAAGGAAAAAATTATGGTATTCAATAACCTGTTTCACATAAGGAGTCAAAAGTATTAGGCAAAACACAAAAAGAGAATTTGATGATTTGAAGCTTTGTCAGTCTATTAATTGAGACAAATATAGAAACAAAGTTCTATTTCTTTTTTGGTTTTATGAAATTGAACAACTAGGATACATCAAAACCAGTAAGAGAGTGCATATATACATCATCTATGCTCTTTGCAGTTTGTAGTCTGTTATGCATCACATGCCAGTTGGGTTCAAGAACCTGAAAACACAATATCCCTAAGGACCTCAAAATTCCTTGAAGAAATATTTTAGATTAGTTATGCAAAGTTCCTACTCTCTGACAAACAAATACAAATTAGAAGTCGATAAGAGACATTAAATCCAAGGTTTTGAAACCCGGACCGGACCGGCCGGTTCCATGCCAGTTGGGTTCAAGAACCTGAAAACACAATATCCCTAAGGACCTCAAAATTCCTTGAAGAAATATTTTAGATTAGTTATGCAAAGTTCCTACTCTCTGACAAACAAATACAAATTAGAAGTCGATAAGAGACATTAAATCTATTTGCTTCAGGTGCAGTAATTCATAATTGCTATCATTCCTGCAAGAAAAAATATATTTAAAAAATAAAAATGAGGAGAAGAAGAGGGGTAAAACATGCCTCAAATGTTAGATAGTGTAGAAGGCTATTAATAAATTTAAGCATACTACGACACAGCAAAGATGACCGAGAGATTGCAGTTCCTTTTGTGTTAACAGCACGCACACCCTACAATCAGATTGCAGTAAAATTAGACAAACAAAAGGAGCCAATATTCACAAATTATGATACAGATTTCTGCTCCATACTTGATGTATTTGCCATGCCCCACAAAGCTGGCGATCCACATGTTTACAATGAAACAGGAAGCGGAATATCAGCTGATATTTTGTTAAGGCTTTTCTTGATATAACAAGGGACAATGGCCATTGAACCTGAAACATGAAATAAACATCAATGAACTTATTGATGACAACCACCTACTACAGACCAGAACACATCCTGCTAAGCGCAGGTGCCATGCCGATGCTGACACAATTTCTCACTCAAACTTGTTCTCACCAAGATCAGCAACAATCTCAGCTACTACTAGATACTCAATTCAACATGCCTTTATTTCAATTACTTGGGGTAGCAGGGTACTTGGATCCATTTCCTCGAATTGATTCTATTCAAAGTCATACTCTCAATTTAGGTCAAGTTTGGCATGATTGAAAAAAGACAAAAAGTTAAAAAGTCACTATCCTATTTAAGTCACATCATCTTATTTAAGTCACATCACCTCTCTAACACATCACTTCAAACCCAACCCAAACCCAACCCATATTTCATAAAAAGTCAAAAAGTGCACTTATTTAGTCTTCCCAAACTAGGCCTTAATTTAACGTAATCTTGTCATTTCTTATCACCTAAGCGCATGTTCTCCTTGGCCTTCCTCTATTTCTTTTGTCATCTCCACATGGATCAAATCACTCCTCCTTACAGGCACATTAATTGGTCTATGATGCACATGACCATACCACCTCAAATGGTGTTCCCTCGTTGCACCTTCAATTAGTCACTTCAAACTTCCTTCCCTATGGATTCATTTCTTCTTTTATCTTTCCTTGCTAGTCGTAACACCATTCATTCATCTCAACATAGAAACAGGAAACAAGCTTCATTTCAAATGGTATGAACAAGGAGAATCTAGGGCAAAGATAACCCACACAAAGAGACAACCAACACAACCTATCCATTAAATACATTTGACAAGCAGGGCTGAACAAAATACTTGGTAATTTTGTTACATTCACGATAGGAGATTAACATTGCAGTAATGTTACATATCTGCAAAGCCAAAAGAGCATTGTCTTTGAGAAGATTCAAGAAAAAGCAGAGACCTTATAACTCAAAGAAAATGTTTCCAGGCCAGTAATGCACACTGGTTCCTCTAAATCACTACTATCAGAAACAGCCCGATTGATTTGAAGATCTTTGAGCATGCTCAAACTTTTTATCAAAGTAGATCTTTCCTGAAAGCAAAATGATAAATTCATGAAATAAGAATAGGATATTCAACTTCATATCATAGTCATATTAGTACGTGGAGAATCAGCCACTAACCACACAACATATTAAGTCCTCATGGCAAGGATCTGCTGCAGCTGCTGTGGTGCGCAAAGCAAGGTCTAGCAGAGACTATTAAAGGAATCATATATTAAAAAAAATGCATGTAAATCAAGGAAAGAATACACAATTAGCCACAAAATGAAAGAAAAATAACCAAACCTGCAACTTCTCAACAGAAATCTCATCGGGCTTCTTCAAGAGCTCATCTCGAGCTATATCCATAAAATGAACCAAGAAATCACCCTGTTGGGCCAATCATAACAACATAGAATTGAGTTCCAGAATGCCATGGCCTAAACCCTAAATCAATTTCCCATAATAGAAACTATGAATGCCTCTTATCTATAATCTTTAGGATCGCAGTTCCTAAAGGTGTGCATGTTTGGGGAACTTCTATTCCACAAATCATTTCCTCTCAGTGTACTCCTTTTTTTTTTTGGTTCAGAAATCAACTTCCGGATAAAACTATTTGGTTCGAAAATCAACTTTTAAACAAAACTATTTGGTTCGGCTGTATCTTTGGTTCGGAAGTTGATTTCCGAACAAAACTAATTGGAAATCAACTTCTGAACCAAATATTCAAAAATAAGTTGTGAACTGAGATAATGTGATGTGTGGAAATAGAAGCTCCCGCATTGATCATAAAAAATTAGACCAATGCCTTTGACCATATAGTCTGCAAATAAAGCATATCAGCTCTTGGCCCCAAAGTCCCCTTAAAAGGACCCACTAAATTATCATTTACAATTTATGTGTGTACGCCTCTAATGATCCTTTCATCTTCCTCTAGCCACCATCTTCCCAGATATTCACGACCAACCGCCACACTACACATACCTACACCTAGCACCTCCAAAATTAAATGGGTTCTCATAACCTATTATTCATAAGTAGACTAAGCCCACTTCCCATCTAAACCCAGAGAGAGCGAGAAGAATAAGCTCATTTTTTCCAAATTTTACTCAATAATTCATCACATGGGACTTCTACTTATTAGTTCACTGACATACAAACCTGATCAAGAAGAAGATAGTGCTTTATAGACCGCAATTTTCCCATTAGGTCATACTACACAAACAAACAAACAAAGAAAAACACTCACTATTGATGACATTGATATGAATAGAAACAAAAACAATTATGAGGAAAATGTGCAAGTATGTTTAGTTGAATAAACTGTACCACACCTTTTCTTTTATAAGATTTAGGAGCTCACCACTGGCAAACTCATAAGCAGCTTTTATACACTCAAGATAATGATGATTTGCACCAAAGCTCATCAACTTTGAATTTTCTGACACAGAGACCTGCCAAAATAATTAGCTAGTCAAGCGGTTGAATTAACATCAGCAGATAAAGATCAACAAACAATTTTGGAAAAAGAAAAAAAAAATGAGTGAACTATAAAGCAACAACATAATCATAACAAAACCTGCACATTGTGCCCACATTCTCTCATCACATTCAAATATTTTCCTGTTGTCAAGATTGTTCCAGCAGCATTTTCTAGGAAGCTAGGAATATCCTCCTTCAGACTGTAACGTTGTCGCCAATACTTTGCATCATAATCTTGAGTGAGACTCTCCTATTGGAAATAAATAGGGGTAAGCATCTAAACCACAATTCCAATGCACTTGTATAACCCAATAAAGTAATACCTTTGGGAGAGATTTGTTCTCAGCAATAAAAAGTTCACCATAAGGATCATCAATCACCCCTTCATAGACCCACCTAAATATATGAAATAAATTTTAGATTGAGTCATAAAATCAACGAGAGTGAATTTATAGAGGATGAGAATAAAACATCAACTATAGCAAATAAGATGCTAAGGCAATGCTAACAACTGAGAAAGATACATATCAACAAATACCTAAATACTAATAATCTGCAGTATGTGCCAACCTACTATAATGTAAACACTGAAATTAAAATATTTATTATTTCCTTTTTAGCAAAAACTTAAGACTTCGTTATTCAATGATAATTATTTGCTAATTTACATTTTAAAATACCATTCCTCAAATTAATGGATAGAAAATAGTTACTTGGAATAACATAAAACAGTATTTTTTGCAAAGTTATATTATAAGGTGATGGTCAAAAGTATTCAGGAACAATACACAGCACAAACTCAAATTTGGAAGTAATACACTGCAAATTTTTAAACATTAAAGGGCTAAAAAGCTACTATACTATAGTGATTTAAGCATCAATTAAGATTTTTTTTTGTTTTGTTTGGTGTGTGTGTTTCATTTATATATTTATTTATTTATTATTTATATGTTTGATAGGTTACATATGTTAATAGTTTTGTGATTAGGATAAGAAATAACTTCAGTAAGCATTTTGGTCGTTTTCCCTTTCATGTTTACTTCAAAAGTTAACATCAATAGCATTGAAAAATTCTATGCAACTTTAAGAAGACAACACCAAAATAAAAATTGTTATAATAAATCATCAAAGACAGGAAAATAAACCCCAACTTATGTAGGTCATAGAATATGGAAATTAATGATAAATAAAGCCCAACTTATGTGTTTTAAAATAACTAAAAGACCCCAATAAACTACCACACAATTGTAATTATGCCATACAAATTGGACATTGGAATAAAGAACACCAGACTTCCTCTTTTACACTTTCACATGCCAAACATCCATACCAAGTACCTTTCTAATATGCCAAGATATGCAGAGCTTGCACTTTGTGTCATCTTTTCCAGTAATGACCTCACCGCACGATCACCTGCCATGGCCTTAGCCTGGATACAGTGAAGACAAATGTGGCCTAAGCAAACAGAAAAAAAAAAAAAAGAAAAAAAAAAGTCTAGAAGTAAAAAATTTAAGTTCCATAGCATAGAGGATAGCAGCTGTCTAAATGTATCTTCTATGTCAACAAAATCTAAATAAGCCAAAAATAATAGACCTGGCTTTGTAAGAGGTTAAGAATTGCTGAGCCCACAAAATTATTAGCTGAAGCCTTTTTTATCACAATGGATAGAGCTTGAAGTGATCCCATCATTGGCTGCAGTAATTTATCAAAAAAGCATTAGGTGGAGCTTGAAAAAAAAAGAAGAAAAAAGTCATGATTCTTAGAGAACAGACCTGACAATAGAACCATAATCCTTGAATAGAAAGCCTTCCTAGTCGAAACTGATGTTCAAGCTGTGCCACCATGACCACATAATCCTGAAAAAGGATAAAATGAAGGTGACATTCAATTAAATGAAACAAGAGACTTTTTATAATCTGGGCCTTTTTTTCATTTCTGTTTCACTTTAACCTTCAAAGAAATCATAGACTCAAAAGCATTCATGTCAGGTCTAGCCTAACCTTTTCAGTTTCCAGAAATAAGACAATCCAAATGAACAATGTGCAGACTGATTTTGAATAGCACAGCAGGTAATCCGCTTAAAGGTGAAGAAAACAATACAAGAATTTTCTAAAATGCAACAAAAGTTAAGCAAAAATGACTTACTACACAGAAAACCTACTAGAAGGAGAGCCCGTAGTGCAGCAGCAAAGGCATGATTAACTAGGCCAGTCTTGAACTGAGACCTTGACTCCACAAACTGATTAATCAATAAATAGCTCTCACACAAAGGGAATAACCGTTTAGCCAATTCCTGCAATGATGGTTGTGATCAATTGAAACAAATTAATGAAAGCTAACACTAAATAAGGCATTATCAAAGCATCAAGCCCAATCATCCGGTAACTACTCAGATGTAGTGATTAAATACTTAACTATGTTAGGCGATTAATGAAACTACTATTCCGGAGCACATTTAGAGTTTTGAGATACTCAATTAGGTGCTTGATCAGATTCTCCACGCACTTTTTTGTAACTTGAAATCTATGATCACGTTTTTTAACTTTTAAGTACTTGAAATTCACCATTAATCATTGTAAGAACATTTAGAGTTTTGAAATACTCAATTAGGTGCTTGATTAGATTCTCCACGCACTTTTTTGTAGCTTGAAATCTATGATTGTGGTTTTTAACTTTTCAGTACTTGAAATTCACCATTAATCATCGTGTAACAACAAATCAAACTCTAAAACCTCATCAAAGTGGAATTGATGCTTTGGGGCAATACTTCTTTAATTCTCCTTTTGCACGAATCAATTGCATTCAGGGAAAGTGGAGTTCAATATGAAGTCACATGTTCATAAGATTGGTTATACAAACTTGTCTGCCTCATCTAATTTCTCTACTAAGCATACATACTCAAAAAAATAAGAACTACAAAAAGCATATTTAACAAAGCAAGAGAACGTATAAAAGTAAACAGCTGAGTCCAAAGAACCAGTACAAGAAGTTTAGGGCAGAAAGTACAAAATATATTTAATACTGTGCCGTTTGGTAACACTTACGTTTTCAGTTTTCTATTTATATTTACAAAAATTTTAAAAACTCAAATAAAAACTTGTTTGGTAAAATTTTTGATTTATATATCAGTGGTCTCAGTTTATAAATTTGGCCAAAAAATGAAAACATAAAAAATGTGTTTCCGTTTTGAGTTTTGAGTTTTTTTTTTTTTTTTACCACCCAACACTAGCCACCACCAAGTCTTCGGCCTTGTCAAAAATGGGTCGTCTCTGGGCTTTGACATTCACTCCCGTCATTGTTATG